CATCACCAACGGATGGGACCATGTTTCTCAACACTGAGATTGCTTTCCTACCCCAGGCAGTAGACCAGGAGTTTGGAAAGGTGGCCTCTGTGGACATGGCATGGGGCTGTGGCAGGAACAAGCATGCACACCTTTTCTCTACTCACCTTTGCCTGCTCCCACAGGGCTCCAGGTGACTTTGAATTTGGTGGCAGCTGCTGTGGCACTCCACGCTATAGACAGGCTTGTGTTGGTGTAGGATATCACCTTGAAATTGGTGACATAGCCAAGAGGAGCTGCAAGGTGAGGACAGCATTAGACAATGGCCTGACTACTGTCCAACAGGGCTCCTCATTGGCACTAGAATGAGGCCAAAATTATATAAAAGCATTAAAAATGGTGTCTTTGCTTATCTTCAGTATCTCATCATCTCCTCACTATAAGGATATGGAGGTGCTAGAGCATGTCCAGAGAAGGGCAACAGAGCTGGGGAAGGGTCTGGAGCACAAGTGTGCTGAGTTCCTGGCTAAGGGAACTGGGGTTGTTGAGCCTGGAGAAAAGGAGGCTGAGGGGAGACCTTCTTGACTCCCAGTTGCATCTGAAAACTCCCATGCAGAAAACCTAGAGCCTTTGGGATTCATGGCCTTAGCTACCAGGCACAGCAGGCCAGCAGGGCAAAGGACCACCATTCATGGTGCCCTTGACCTGAGGTGATGGGAGTAGGGTGTAGGAGACATGGTGCAGGTGCTTTGTAGGGATACATAAGGTTGAACCAACCACACAAGGGTTGTGTGCTGTAGTAGCTACTTGAATGTCTTGCCTGTACTCACATGTCCTGGCTGAGGTTGTGATCCCTGGTCCCTCCATCGAGCCAAAAAGCACATAGAGGGAAATCACGTACTCGGTGTCATGGGCCAGGTTGCGGAGCTGGTAGGCTGTGATGGACTTGTTGAGGGCCAGCTGGCGAGGACGGTCTTTGCCAAAGAATTCTTTGGGAGAAAGAAAATAACATAGAAGAGGATAAAGAGTGAAGAGTCTGGAGAGAAGCTCTGTTGCATATTGGGAAAGACAACATGTTTTCCCTGGCAGTCCATCTCTGATCCAGCTGAACCTCTGTTGTAGGACACCCATACGTGCACTGGGGCAAGAGAGAGTTTCTCTGTGGTTATTTTTTGGGGGAATTTGAATGACTAAAGGACCCAAACAAGCTGAGAGGAACCAAAACACCTCTCACATCCAGGGCCCACAGTAATTTGGTGTAGTTTAGGGTGGCTCCAATGTGTGCTCTGCCCCTCCCCAGTATCTCCAGGGAGTTGCAAAGCCTCTGAGCTGGATGACCAGGCAAGGGGGTGCAGGACTCTTGCACCCACTGGGATATGTGTTGGGCTGGAGTCAGGCTGAACGTAGCTGCTGCAGGGACCCTGCCTGCTGGCATTGCAGGTCAGGCCCAGGAATAATTTCTGGTGTCAGTTCATGCCCTGAAGTTGTGGGAGAAGCTGTTAGACCAGTTAATGAACTGGACCTGCCCCTACACCCACTAGCCCTAAGGTTCCCAGTGCCTTATCTCCCATGCTACAGAAAGAGGTAGAGGTGATGCAGGCTGGAGGAGAGTAGGATCTTACCTGGTGTAGGACCCCAAGCCACTCGGTACCCAGTAGCCCCAGCAACTGAGTCCCAGGAGACCAGAGCACTGTTGATGGATATCTCACTCACTTTCAGCATCTGGACGGTGCTCGATGCCACTGCAAGAGAGCAAAGTTGCCCAGTTGCATCAAGGTCCTAACAGCTTCTAAGTGGCCCCCCCCAAACTGTAATGACCCAGATTGCTTTCTGCACCAGATGACAGGCAGGGTGGTGTCTACAAATGACACCAGCTCTGTGCTGCCAGCACATCCTGACCCACATCCATGTCTTCTTGGGCTGGCTCCCATCCCTGCTGCAGGACACTCACCTGTTGTTGCTTTTCCACTAACTACTGGTCCCTCAACATCTCCAAAGATGGGGTTGATGGTGATGGTGTACTCTGTGCCAGGCTGTAGCCCCTGAATCATGTAGTAGCTGTAGGTGTTGCTGAGGTTCACATCTTGGATGCTGCCCTCTGCAAAGATAAATTATATCTGGGCTCCCTTGGGTCAGATAAAGGAGGACTACTCTCCTTGGGTCTCCTTGTCTGGGAGGGTGGTGGGCAATCATGCAAACAACCATGTGAGAACTACATAGTTGAGTGAGATTGAACAGCATTTCATCTTCGTGGCTTGCACATGTGCGGCAAAGGTCCTCAAGCCAAAGCTGGTAGGGACAGGGCTTAGTGCAACAAGCACAAATCTTGGTTGAGGAGCTAATGTAACAGATGTGGGTAGAAATAACCCACAGTCGCTCAGGCAGATCTTGGTGATCACCAACAGATCAAGGCAGCTCAGGCCTTTGGAGGTCAAAGAAAATAAATTGGGTAGAAACACATCAATGGCCACATATGGGTCTGCGAGTAGTCCCATAAGAGGGTCCACACTCTGCCCAGCCCTGGGTGACCCAGTGCTGGAGTCATCTTGCTTTCCCTTCAGGACACTGGAACCAACTGAGGCCACAAAAGACATTTTCTCATTTCTGTATCTTTGTTGTGGACTAGAAATCGCTCAGCTAAACCTGTTGGCATCGCTCTAGAGGGAGGCTCGGCAGGAGAAGAGTTAAAACCAAATCCCTGGGGATCGCACCCCATTTTCAGAGGGGTTAGAAGGGTGCAGGCAGCAGTAGATTGGGGTTTGGAGGGGAAGAGGTTGCCATTTGCAGTTTGGTCACTGGAGGGTGCCATGTCCTCATCTTCTGCTCCACCAGCATCCTGAGCCCCATCCCCCTTATCATAGAATTATAGAATGGACCTTCTCTCTACATCAGCCGCTCGTTTATGGTTAAATATTCTCTGTCTTAGAAGTCAGAGAAGAAAATTCAAACCCATCCAAGTGCCTGGGACAGCTGCACAAGGATGGGCAGAAGCTGCCTCGATCCCAACGTCACTGCACCTATAATGCATGGACCTGGGATGGGATGGAATGTGAGAGAAGAACCCGTAGGGCCCAGGTGAGGGTGGGCTGCCCCTTGGGATTTTTTGCCACCCTTAGATTTGGGTGAATTGGCATCAGGTGAAAGAGCTGCTTGAAAAGAGTAAATCTGGAGTGGAGGTGATGTGCCCTTGCTGCTTCATCTGAGGATGTCTGGCACTGTCTCCTCAAGAAGGGGTGTCCCCACTCAAAGATGTGACAGGCTGAGGATGTGCGTGCTCCGTATCTAGCTGGGGTATCAAGCAGGGAGTGGGTAAATAGCTGAGTTTTGGGATGTGTCATGTTCTTTTTTCCCAGAGAATCATTATTTAAAAAGCAATAAAAACAGTTTTATATCTTCCCTGTAAAGAATTTTCCCTTCTGATGACCTTCAGAGCTGTTCTCCAACTAACCTCCCTTTCCTCTGGTGGGAGATGTCCCCTTAATTTCCTAACCAGGGAAAATGAGCCAGAGGAGAGTGTGCTATTTCTTCAAAGCCCTGTGATGGAACCCAGGTGTCCTGACATCCCATCTCAGCTTTGAACCACAGAAACATCTATCTCCCAAGGCTAAAATATGCCATCAAACCTGAATTTCTAACTTCTGCTCCCCCACACCAGCCATGAATATATGTTTGGGTTCAGGGCAGGGGAGAAGCTCTAGCTGCAAATGCAGATCTATCTTCAAACACCAAAGTTTGTCTGAGAATGAGGATCATTATGGGATGCTGGGGGATCAAGCCAGGTCTTAGTGCTGAAGAGAGAAAAATAGTAAGTGCAGGTGCTTCCAGTCTGTAACGTGGTAGTTATCACCCCAAAAAGGGGGTAATCCCAGATGTTCAGGGGCTGTGGGATGTACAGCTCTGCATGGAGCACTTTACCAGCTTCTCTCCAGCTATTAACCCTTTCCAGAGCTACTCAGGTCAAGTAAGTCCAGCACTAATCCTGTGTTAACGAGGCTGGATACCCGTTAACCTGCTTTATGGAGAACCAGAGCAGATATTTTTGCACCCATGGTGGAGTTTACCAACACCCATGATAGGGCTCTCTGTTGCAAGCTGATGATTTATCCCCATGTGCAGAAAACCCCACCATTCACAGACCCAAACCACCTGTTTTCCTCCAGCTTTTTGTCACACATCTGCACACAGAAGGTGTCAATGCACCCAAGGCCTTCAGGACCTCCCATCTCTCCATGTCCCTGCTCACTGATGCACCCCATTCCTGAGTCTCTACCTGCTGATGTCCAGGTGAGTCTGTACCCCGTTGCTCCCCGGACAGGACTCCACCTTGCCTGGAGCGTGTTGGTTGTCTCGTTCTGCAGCAAGATGCTTTTCACAGGCAGGAGCTTCACTGGAAGGAGGACAAGGAACAAACCTATCAGAGGACCTACTTGCCACTGGAGGACTTTGATGGGTGCCTTCCCTGCATAGCTATTCCTCCAGCTTGCCTGCCAGCAGGAGAGGGATTTACAATGGTTCCTGCTTTCCCTGACAGGCTGAAGGCATCTCATAAAAGCAGTGGTGAAAACAACCGTATCTGTAATGATAGCTTTCCAGAACCAATGCCTCTGATCATGGAATCATTGAATATTGTGAGTTGGAAGGGACCCACAAGGATCATCCAGTCCAACTCCTGTCCCTGCACAGGACAAGCCCAACATTCACACCATGTCCCTGAGGGCCTTGGCCAAATGCTGCTGGAATCTTGTCAGGCTTGGTGCCATCAGCACCTCCCTGGGGAGCCTGTTCCAGTGCTCCACCACCCTCTGGGTGCCTCAAGAACCTTTTCCTCATGGCCAACCTCACCCTCCCCTGCCACATCTTCCTGCCATTTCCTCTGCTCCTGGCATTTGTTGGTGGCCAGAGAGGAGAGATCAGCCCCTGCCCCTCCTCTTCCCCTTGGGAGGAAGTTCTAGACCATGATGAGATCTCCTCTCAGTCTCCTCTTCTCCAGGCTGAACAAACCAAGCGACTTCAGCCTCTCCTCATATGGCTAATGCGCTACTTTTCTTGCTTTATACAGTGTGGGTGCAAAACTGGGGGGCAAGCAAGATTCTAGCAGATCTCCCACCCTTCCTCCCAAGCAGCATGATGGTTTTCCATAGAATCATAGAATGGTTTGGGTTGGAAGGGACCTTTTTAAAGGTCATCCAGTTCCAACCCCCCTGCCATGAGCAGGAACACCTTCCACTAGACCAGGTTGCTCAAACCTCATCCAGCCTGGCTTTGTCCCAGCTAAAAACCAGGACAGGGTGTCCATGTCTATGCAGGTGATGGAAGAAGAGCAGGGCTCAAGGTTGGAGTTAGGAAGGACCTGTGGAATGCTGCTCCTTTGATGCACATGTAGCTGCAACACCCACCAACTGTGAGGTGCTTAACCATAGCAAAGGGCTTGAACACAGTCCCCAGGGCAAGAAGAGACCAGTCACAGAGTTAAACCTCTTACATGTTCTTCCCACAGCAGCCACAGGTTGGCTTGGTCCCTGGGGGTACACCGCGGAGATGCTGATGCTGTATTCTCTATCCTCCTGCAAGTTATCTAGTACATGGGAAGAGACATCGCCCCGCAAAACCTGCTCGTAGGTCATTCCTGGTTTGTTGGCTGCAAAATCAAAGAGAAGAGTGATGGTGAAACCTTTGCATTGCCTGTCTACATCCCATGATGATGTCTTCACAACATGGTGAGGAACATGCATAGAATCTGGTTCAAGTGCATGGTTGAAGTCCCCTAGCTCATGTGATGCTGCCAAGAGTCATGTCTGTAGCTAAGGCTTGACATACCCATGCTGTCCCAGCTCTCCAGATCACACAGAGGTGAGTGTGAGCCATAACAAAGGCTTGAACCCACCCCACATCCTCAAAGCAGGCATTTGAGTATGAGAAATATCCATGGTAGGTCTATATGTGACTGCAAATGGGTACAAGGCATCCACAGCACTATCCTCATCTTATTCTTCAAAAGGAAGTCCTTCAAAGAACTCTTCTTCTCCATCTTGGATGAACCAAACTGTCTGGAAGTGGCTAACCTGGCCTCCTTCCAGAGTAATTCCAGGAGCTTTGTGGTGCATTGTTCTTTGGACAAAATGGCACCTTTCCTGTCTTGAGGTCACTGCTCCTTTTAAAGCAAACTCCAAGAAAAATTAATGAAAATCTAAACTTACCTCTGGGGATGTAGATCTTGTAGCCCTCCAGCTTGCCCAGTGGAGGTGTCCAAGCCACCTTCAAACTAAAAAGTCCTTCTTCTATCACACGGAAATTAGTGACCGGAGGCACAGGTGCTTTGGGGTACAAAAATATTGCACAAATTGAAGTGACAATGCTGTAATAAAATGCCATGGCAAAGATTCTTGGAAAATCTTTTGTCTTCAAGGACAAAGAGACGCAAAGGTGTTCCTATTCTTTCAGCAGAATCCTCAAAAGCAACTGTCCCCCTCTACCAAACCCTTGTCTGCTTGAAAAGTCAGCTGAAAATCCTCAAGACAGAGTGCTTGCGGGCTTCCTCTTTGAATGGTGCTGGGAACAGTGAAATATCTACCCACAAGGCATTTCCTCCTCAGCAGAGAAAACTCTGCAGTGGTTTCATGCAGACTGAGCAAGGACACATGAATCAAATGCTTCTTGTGCCTATGGATGCAGCTCTTACAAAGAGAAGCCCATTTTCATCAGCCAGCCATGGCAGACAGATTTATAGCTTCTGCCTCTGGCTTCATGTTGGGGATAATAAGAGAAGAGATCAAATGACTTTATGTCCACCCATAAAGACATTCCATCTTATTCCTGGCAAGTACGTATGAGTCAACCTCATTGAGGCACTTTATTTATTCATCCTGTCGGAGATCTTCCCTCAAGAAGACAAACAATGTAAGACATTGGAGGGGGTGGGAGTGGGGGAAGAAACAAAAGACAAGGAAGAAAGGAATAATTCTTTTCAGAAATCCCTTGGACAAAGCAGACTTGGCACATCATCCAAAAACAGGGAGGGAAGTAGAATTAGTACACCCCTTAAACTCTTAAAACCCTTCAAAGTAGTGCAGAGACTTCTGGGACAAAACCTCCTCCATCCATCACATCTGACACAGTGTCTTGCACTCCAGGGTTTGGCCAAGAGTGAATTTGCTCCTTTGTTTCCAAGAACTTTGTCATTACAGCCAGCCACGTGGCAGCAAAGGAATTTGGTATGGCAGATTGCAATCCAGAGGAAGCCTAGATGATTTCATGGGATCAGAGATCACTACTTGGAGCATTTCCTAAACACCTTGATCATATCACCTTGGTGTTCACCTTGAGTGAAGTCAAGACTCAAGTGCCACTTACTCAAGTTTGCATAGTGCCAACAAAAAACTTTTGGACCATCCACTTCTGAAACAAGATGTTTAGAACATACATCTCTCCATAAAACTCATGTCTGTATTTCCCAACCCATGGTGTCCAAAAGCTCTCTCATCCCAGATACACGGGTGTTACATTAACTGAATCCCAGCCCAGATTCGTTAAATCCTGCTGGTCATTAAATCAGATGATGTGAGCTTTCCAGCAGGCTGCACCCTCTGCTTTCAAGTGGTTTAACCCCATGGGTTGCTCTGCACCCACTCACAACCCTGCACCCCACACCATGGACATCTGCACAGATGTTCCTCCTACCCATTCCTACTCATCCATCCCTCACTCCTCACATGTATGGTTTGGGTCTGGGTTTTTTCCTGTGCCCACACAGACAAAGAAAATATGGGGATGACTGCAGAAGAGGCACTCACTTGTTTTCCCCTTGACAGCTGCTGACTCCCCAAGGACATCTGCATAGACAGCTCTCACCTTGAAAACATACTTGGTGTTGGGTTTCAGATCAGTCACCAGCACGGTACTTTTGTCACCATCCACCACAATCTGTCACACAGTGGGACAAAGGACATCATTACACCTCCATGACAGTAGAAGATTCCTATATTTGCAACAAATTAGGAGCACAAGGCTTCACATCTGATGTGGGGTGACTTCCATGAGCAGGAGCCTCTTAAAATGCATTCAGAACACTGCGATCCTCAAATGATATCTGCGTTCACACTGGACCTAGCACTGACACAGGACAGTGCCAAGGGTGGGTTTCATGAGTCATCTCAGAAAAAAAACTCCATGAAAACAAGAGGTGAGAGTGGTTCCCAATCCTCTTGAAAAAAAAAGGAGGAAAAGCAACCATCTTTGGCAAAGAAAAGTTTATTTTAAGCTCCTAGAGGGAGATTTCAATGTAAACTGAGGGCAAAAGAGGTGGAGATAACTTCTGTGTTTTCACTATGTTCTTATGAGATTCTGAAGCAGCCAAGGATGATCATTCTTGTTAAATACAATCTTAATAATTAATACAATTAATAATCCTAACCTTAATAATTTATGCTTTCATAGCTTTGTTCTATTATTAGAAATCAAAGCTTTTTGGCATATATTTCTGTCCTTCAATCTTGCTCTCAAACTTTGTGCAGTGATGAAGCAGAACCTGAACGAGTTGGCACACATGGCAGCATCGTTCACACAAGGACATGGCAAATCCAAAACCTAAACATGTGGAGGTCTTACCAAGATGAACAGTCTTGGCAGCAAGAAGACCAGGGGGTGCTGCTAGGGAAGCTGGATGGGCTTATTCAAGAGGTGGTATCATAGAGGTCAGGAGAGAAAGGAGTGCTTCCCATTGTTCTTCTCAATCCCAATGGAGTTTGGGCCAGCTCATGCCATATCTTCCTTCCACCCTACCTTCTACCCCATCATTCCCAGAAACTACATCTCACCACAACAGCAATGCCAAAACTAGCACGAGCAGTCAACACATTTGCAATTCCAATGGTCTATCTATAGACCTTCACTTGAAGCTTCAGGAATTTATGCCAAGACATTGGGCTGTGACCAGAATGTCTGAGAGACATGGTGCCATCTCCTAACCATCAACAACTTCAGCAGAGGACTAACCCCCTAAGGCTGGAACCTGCAACTGCTGCTCTGGAAAATGGAAATGCAACTCTACCTGCTGCTGGTCCTCTGAAGCTGGCTGCCCCAAAGGCAGCAAGGGATGCAGATGGACACGGTACCCCATCACCTTCCCTGTAGCTGGTATCCAGCTGAGTCGTAGTGAGCTGTGGCTGTGCTCACTGACATGTAAATCCTGAGGGCCAATGATCTTCTCAGCTACAAAAAGAGAAAGGAAAGGTCTTTGGTTTGGATCATGATGGTACTAGTGCTGTACACGTGCAAGCTGTCCACGGATGGAGTCAACATACTCAATGCCAAGAAAGCCTTGGGTATAGAGGGCACTCAGGTTGAGAGTGCAGAGGCAGCTGGGATCTATCTCCAAGCCAGAGCCACACAATCAGGTTTTCTTTTGGCAAATTCCTTGACAGAAGAAGGGAAAACAAAACTAGTTTTGCATGCGTTTCCCATGTCAACACCTGCTTAGTGCACATGGCATCATCTCCTTCTCACCTGTCTCCACAATCAGGTTTTCTTTTGGCAAATTCCTTGTCAGAAAAAGGGAAAGCAAAACTGGTTCTGCCTACATTTCCCATGTGAACACCTGCTTAGTGCACGTGGCATCATCTCCTTCTCGCCTGTCTACTTACCGCCACCAGAGAACAGTCTGCCAAAGAGCTTGAACTCTTCATGAAACATCATGTGCTACAGAACCACAGAGAAGGCAAAAAAAGGACCCTTTAAGGACTCAGATGAAGTTCTCCCAAGCTTTTAACTCATCTTTCCATGATTTTGTGGGCCAATGAAGAGAGAGGGCAGGAATTCATTGCCATCACCTCTGGATTCACTGCATCAGTATCTCTTCAGGGAGAGATCTAGACCTCTTTAGAGATCTCTTTAGCTCCTGCTTTAGTTCTTCCTGAGACTGAGCTGTGCTGCCAGAAATTCATTGCCATCACCTCTGGATTCACTGCAACATCAGTATCTCTTCAGGGAGAGATCTAGATCTCTTTGGAGATCTCTTTGGCTGCTCTTTGCATCTTCTGCAAGTAATTAAGTTCTTCCTGAGACTGAGCTGTGCTGCCAGTGTTCACCATGAGAGGTCCATGATGAAAACTC